TGTATAAGAGACAGCTTTTGCATAATGTAAGGCATAAGAGAATCAACCAATCAGAGTATGAAAACTAATGTATTACTAGTCATAGATTGGCTGCGCCATTCCATATCCAGCCAATCAAAAATTGGCTCAACATTGGCCAATCTCTTATTATAGTGTCTCTAGAGACGCCTATCTGCATCTTTGTTCAATCGCGCATGCGCAGTTGGTTTTTACGGTTAAGTGGAGATCTCGTTGACGAGAGATGAGGAAAAGAAAGAAAATATTTGTATTAATATAAGTGTATAATAATAATTGTATTTATATAACAATATACATCCTATAGAGTATTTTTATTTGCATAAACGTTTATAAAAAAAATTTTGTAATGTTATAATAACATAAAATAACATAAAATAACATAAAATATTCAATATATCTTCTTTAAATATTATATATTTTTATATAATTATATATATATAATTATATAAAAATAATAATATTAATAATTATAATTATAATTATAATTATTATTTATAATTGTATTATATATATATATTTCTATAATTCAGAATTAAATATAAATATTCTAACTACACTGAATAATTAATAAACTTATCAATATTTGATAAATTTACTTGACACCTATATAAACTCTGCTTGACATTTGTGAAAACTTTGAGATTCATCAAAGGAATAGGTTGGGTTGTCGATTAATGCGCGCGCAACATTAGACAAGGATAAAGATGGCTCTCTCATTTTCTCTCTTTCTATCAGCTCACAGTCATGGTGGAAGTATAACATGGTGTGTGCAGTTGGCGAGTGTCTCTCTCTAAAAATTTGCCCTCTCCGTCGTTTAGATGTCGGCAGGATGAAACTCTACCAACTGTGAAAAGCGAAACATTTAGCGTCGAGCTGTTGGTATGAAATCTATAGTATATGTAACGGGAACTGTAGATTGATTTTTATACCGGCAGTATATATTAAATTAAATATATCAAAAATAAAATATTTTGTATGTAATAAGACTGTAACTGTCTATCTTACAAATTAATTGTAATGTATAGAATGTATTTGTATTGCTCCACGACTTTAATAACGTATATATATATACGTTATAAAAGATAAATAAGATTATTAAATACTAATGAATAATATAAAAATAATATAAAAATATATAAAAATAAAAATTGTACTAATTTATATATAGATATATATATATAATTAATAAAAAAATCTAATATGAAATAAAAAAATTAATGAATATGAAATATTAAAAATACTATTAGAAATTATTAATTCTGTTATATTTCTACTTATTAAAATCGAAAGTACAAATCATAACGAATAATTTTAAATTTCTTTGTTCTTTTTTTCTTTATTTTGTAATATAAAGAGGTATG